GGCTCGGCGCGGCTGGGCGCGCGGCGTTCTGGCCCGGAGCCGGGCGGCGGGCCTTCGCCATGCCGGGGATGGTGCTCTTCGGCCGGCGCTGGGCCATTGCCAGCGACGACTTGGTCTTCCCGGGGTTCTTCGAGCTGTTTCTGCGGGTGCTGTGGTGAGTGCGGCGGGCGGGCGAGCCGCGCTGGGCGCTGACGCCGCCGCGCTTGTCCCGGGCCCCGGGCGCCGCGGGTGTCGCCCTGCCGCTGCCAGCCCTGAGGTCGGTGCTGTGACTCTCTCCACTCCGCGGGCCGCAGGCTGAAGCCCGGGCCGTGCCCCTGGTCACAGCTGGGCCGGCGACCGCGGCACTTCCGACGACCGCAGCTGGGCCCGCGACCTCCCTTTCTCGGCCAGAGGCAGCCCGAGCTCTGCGGAGAAACGCCGCGCACCTGTGTCCGCCGAGATGGTGGGACGCGAGACCCTTCAGCGTCCTCTCGAGCTGCTTCTGGCTGAATTCCGGGGAAAGCAGTCAGGCTTTTCGTGACACGCTCTTGGCTTTCAGCGTGTGCAAGGGGACTTAGGTGTCTGAGTAAAGCAGATGCCATTGTTATAAAAGAATAGATTCTGGAAGGAAAGGGAGGTTTAAAAACGCAGTGTTGTGAGCCAGCTTCATCGTGTTCAAAACCACATTTTGCCGAGGTCATTTTCCATGATTCTCAGCTGACAAAAGCATAAACAGCTCCTCCAGTTCCATTTCGGGGTTTGAGGCTTATTAAGCTGCCCTTTCTTGGCAAATGGCCCTCTGCGCTCCGTTGAAATGCCCCTCCTGGCCGGGGTCTGTTTCTTTGCATTAGTTGGTGCTGTCATTCTTTCCACACTCAGTTACAAAGTATGCGCCTGAGTCCACACTCCTTGTCTTTTGTGTTTACCATGGAATATCTTTGCTTTCTTAATTCAGCAGATTGCAGTGTGTGTGTCAATTTCTTAATCTGCAAAAGTAAAAATGTTAATTACCTATCACATACTTGTGGCAAATGGGGCTATTTTTCAGCAGCCCACATTATATTTGCGTGTTTGTAACTTTAAATTCCTTTCATACATCACAGCAGGCTTAGAATAAGAACAGTTACATAAACATAGAGATAAAATTCACACCCAAGTCATACTCATTCGTTGATACAGATCTTTTATTAATGAAAATTATATTTCCAAGTGAACTTCACTCACCTTCATTTGAAAAATCTTAATTTATTTTTCTGTGGCATGTTTTCCAGAGCAGTTTCTGGGTTCCATTTATGACCCCCATTTCTTGACAGGTGGGTTGGCATCCTGACGTTGTATCTCATACACAGAGGGCAGCTGAACTGTGCTGGTGGAGTCCTGCTCAGCAGTTACTTAATCGTTCTCATTATTCTCCTGGCAGTTGTGATATGTACTCTCTCAGCCATCATCTGTGTCAGCATGAAAGGTAAAGAGGCCCCTTTTTTCCCTTTCACTTTTATTTATTTGCTTACATCATTGTTCATTTTTGTACAATATTCAATTTCTCACCTCAGACGTAATTGAGAAAATAACCAATATCCACTCTGGCTATTACATATAATGCTTCTGTGAATATTATTGTGTACATTTTTGCATGAACATGTTTTCATCTCTCTTGGATGGAATTGCTAGTTCATATGGTAACTGCCAGACTGTTTTCCAAGCAGCCACACCATTTTTCATTCTAAGGGTTCCCATTTCTCTACATCCTTGCCATTATTGTCTAGCTTTTTAATCATAGCCACGCTAGTGGATGCAAAATGGTATGTTATTGTGGTTTTGATTTGCATTTTTTTATGACTAACAATATCAAGCTTTCTTTTGTGTACTTATTGGCCACTTGTTTATCATTTCTGGAGAAAATGGCTATTCAGATTCCTTCCCCGATTTTAAATTAGGATATTTGTCCTTCTATTAATGAGTTGTAAGAATTATAACTGTTCTTCATGAGATTTTTTTCTCCTCGTGTTACAACTTTATACATAGTCTCTTAGGTGAGAATGTCTCTGAAAAGGTTGGAATCCTTGCTACTTGATTGCTCTTATTTGTAGGATAAACTGAACCCATTTGTGACTAAGAAAGAAATACATCAGTAAACAAAACATACATCAGCGATAAGGCTGTATGGCACGCCACCAGGCAACGTGTCTTAGTGTTTTATCACTGCCTGCTTTGGGATGTAGGCATCATGCTTATCAGATCGTAGATGATGATAAAATTAAGAGGGAGTAGCGGATATGTGGGCGAGAATTAATATCTCAATGGTTTGATATGATAGGCTGAAACTTAAAGGTTGATAGTTCCTGAGGAGAAATAGAGAAGTATTCCTGGCAAAAAGACCTGAGGGTTTGGGATGACCAGGAAGCATGGCACATAGCTCATTCCTATGATACATATTTAGAGCAGAGCTGTGTGCATTTGAGTATACCTCTGAAAACATGGGTATGTGGAGTCTGGATCAAAGAAGGTCCCCTTCTGTGGTCAGTGTAGGTTCCCATGGATGCTGGAGACTGATGGGTCAGAAGGAACAGCACTGTGAAGTTTTTTAATGAAGTCAGATTTCTGAAAGATAAGGTATTTGGGCACATCGTTTCAGATATAGTGGTATGTATTTTCCCTTTTTGTTCATGTCACATTCTGGTTAGACCACTGAATTTACAACTGTAGTGGGTTCAGATTTGAAGCACCACGTGTAAGCTTTTTTTTTTTTTTTAAGATTTACTTATGCATACAAGAACTGAAGTACAGGTCAGAGGTGTGGGGCAGGGGATGAGGGGATTCACCAGGGTGGGGAGCAGAACAGGTAGATGTACTGAATACACTGCTGAGAGGAACAGAGGGTGGGTCAGGAGAGGTCTGCCATGCCATGTGGGTCACCCCTTCAGCCAGGGATCAAACCCGTGCCACGGTGGCTTCGGATAGCCTCATAGTGCTGTGCCTTAACCCAGTGTGCCACCAGGGAGGACGCAGTATAAACTTTTTTGTTCCTTAAATGTTTCTCAGATACTTCTGGTACTGTCTAGGCTTCTTCACACCCCTGTGATGGATGAACATATTCCCCTGGGCTCCTCCTGGCGTAATGCCTGGTCAGGAAACATCTGCCAGTCTTATGGGGTGTTACGGGTGGGTTACCTCCCTAGCAGCCTCTTCCAAAACAAGCCCAGTTTTGCTTAGGACATTCCCCACCCTGCACCATTCAGGTGCATGTGTGGATGAACTGGCTTTCTGCCCAGCTCTACCGTGATTGCCCATGTCATATTGGCTCAGGACTGGACCTGGCATCCAGTTTGGGCCAGTGAATTTCAGAATATTTTGCTAGGAGGTTCTGGAGAATCCTTTGTTCCTTTAGGAAAGATCGAGAAACAGCATACTGTTTTCCTTCCGGTTGGTGCTCTGTCCAAGCAGCGGCTAAGTTCCCTCTGTACTGCCACACACAGCCCAGGATAAGCCAACTAATGAAGGAGAGTGGAGCTATAGGAGCACAGGAAGCTGGACGCCGGTCCAGGCCCTGCACCTGAGTCCCTAAGTCCCTAAGTGAAGTCCCTTCCTGGGCTTAATCAAGTTTGATTTGGATTTTCTATTACTTGTGGCTAGAGATAGCACTACTGAACTGAAAGCAATATTTTATAAAAACCTGTTAGTCTGCCAGTTTGTTACAAATAATTAACATTATATGCCTTATTTAACTATTACTAAATTTCAGTGAAAATGTAAAGAAAGTAAAAACGAAAGACAATGGGAGAGAATATTTTAACTTAGGGGACTTAGAAGAGTGAATCTCCTTAATGTATAAGGGCTTCTGTGATAAATAAGAAAAAAACCAATAATCAATAGAAAAGTGGACAAAGATCACAAAAGGTAAAATGACTGCAAGTGGCTTTTTTTTTTTTTTAAACTTAGTTAATTTTTTTTTTTTAAGATTTATTTATTTGGGCATACAGAACTGGGGTACAGGCCAGAGGGGCAGGGGCGGTGAGAGGATTCACCAGAGACAGAGCGGGGAGCAGAACAGGCAGATCAATGAAGTACACTGCTGAGGGGAGCAGCGGGCGGGTCAGGAGAGGTCTGCCGGGCCATGTGGTCACCTCCGGGGCAGGCGGGGATCGAACTCATGCGGAAGTGGCTTAACGTCCTTAGTGCTGCGCTTTAACCCGCTGCGCCACCAGGGAGGGCCGTAAGTGGCTTTTAACTATAAAAATGTTTGGCCTCAGTCACAGTAAAAACTCGCCTAGATGGTGCAGTGGTGGGAGCTGTGCAGACACGGGCAGCGCATTTTGTCAATGGGAATATAAGTGGCGTGACTCTCTTGGAAGCCCTGTTTCGGGGTGTATGATGAGAATCAGTCCTTTTTTTCTATGTATGTAGACAGAAAGTACTTGTGGGGCTGTTCAATGTAGTATTGCTTGTCGCTACAAGACTGGAACACACCCAATGCCTGTGGGGGGTGTGGTTAGGTCTGTATAGTTCAGCCCTGAGTGTGTGCACACCTGTTAAAAGGAAAGAGACGCCTGTGAGCCTAGAAGGCCAGCTCTGCTGGGGTCCCGCCTGCTGGGGCATGGGCACCCATGGGCTTGCTTTTCTCTAGAGGGTGTACACGCACGCTGCAGACTGCATGGAAGGTAACCAAGGGCCTAATATTTACCTTACAGCCACTTGAGCTATTTTTTTTTTTAAAGATTTATTTATTTGTGCATATAGAACTGGGGTACAGGCCAGAGATGCGGAGGGTGAGAGGCTTCACCAGAGACAGAGTGGGGAGCAGAACAGGCAGATCGACGAAGTACACTGCTGAGGGGAGCAGCGGGCGGGTCAGGAGAGGGTCTGCCACGCTATGTGGTCACCTCCGGGGCAGGCGGGAATCGAACTCATGCGGAAGCGGCTTTAGCTTCTCAGTGCTGTGCTTTAACCCGCCAGGCCACCAGGGAGGGCCCACTTTAGCTATTTTGCTTTACCTTTCACATGTATTACCTGCACAGAATTGGTAGATGTTTTACAAGTTATAAGTTTTAGATAGGTTTTTTAACAACTCATCTCAATAATCAACATCATTTGTCTGAAAGACAGTTTACTTGGCTTTTGTCTGATGTACTTCTCTAAAATAAACCCCACAAATTGTAGAATGTGCATTTGAAACAGAATTTATTCATCTTTTCCCAATGACTGATGCTTGTGAATCTGCCTGCTCTCTTTTTCTTGGTCCTCAGTATAGCTTAGCTGGGAAAAATCTTGGTGCTGTTGTGTTAATTTCTGGTTTTGGTTTGAGAACCTCCTGGGTGAAATGCTGCTTCTGCTCGGGGAGGTAGAGTCAGGGAGGGTTCTCGCTCAGGGAAGGCCCAGGGGTGGTGGGCTGCTGCCACGCTGAGTCTGGTTTGGTCTTGAGTCTCTTCCCACGCTCATTGCTAATGTCGTGGGGGAAGGGGACTGACATGGCTGGAGGGGTTGACCCCGACGAGTCGTGACATGTGCTTTGCCTCTCTTGCCCTGACTGCTGGGAGATGGGTCCTCACCAGGGCTGTGTTGAGGAGGTTGCGTGGGGAATGTTGCTGGGCTCAGTAATTATGGATCATGGCATCACACGCCCAGTGCACCCACCTAGTCCTCACTGGCAGCTGTTTATCCAGAAAAGAAAATAGCAGTCTAAATAATCTTTGTCATGTCTTACCTCTTTTCTGGAGCCTTAATTAGAACTCCATTGCCTACTTCCTCATTTATGTGTCTGTTTCCTTCACCCGGTAACAATATGTGGGATCCAGGTCCTGCTTAGCAACATTAGGACACTCCCTGACTTGGAACTCTCCCCGTCCAGAAAGCCCTGTGCGAGCGTATGTGTGTGTGTGTGTGTGTGTCCTGATATTGTTTCCTTTGGGTGAGCAGCTTTTGTTAAACAGCAGAAGCCAAGCAACAGACTGGTTTTTTACAGACCTGTAGCTATTGCTTCTCCCTCAGAGGGAGTGCTGTTTTAGTTAGCTTGAAATATTTTGTCTTTGTGCCCAAAATGAGCGTAATTGTGTCTGATATTTTTTAAATGTGTTTCTAAGTGACTCATGGGAGGTCATTTTTGGAATATAAAGGTTATCTCCTTAACAGGTGATTCTTTAGATTTTTCTAAATCATTGGTTTTGTTTTCATCATGCAGCATTTTCATGTTACCTTCGTGTTTATCACAACTTTTCTCCACAGGGAAAGAATTAATGTTTTGTGTTTGAGAGTTAGTGTTTTTACATCAAGAATTAAAGCACACAGATTTCTGTTGGTTCTTGGATTTGTTTTACAAATAGAGTAAAAATGTTGTGTCCACAGGTGGAAAATAACAAAAATAATGAACAACCATATACCAGAGACATTGTGTGGGGGTGGAGTGGGGAATGGGATCAAAAACGGGGTGGGGGGAGGGAAATGCACGGGATTATGGTGATGGGAAACCCGTGGGGATTACAATTGAGATGGGAAAAAAAAATGTACAAAATGATGTAAAAATAAACTTTTGTAATAAAAAAAAAATGTTGTGTCCAACTGTTAGGTCTTAAAATCATTCCTTTTCCAAAGTGAGGGTCATGGGCAATGGTGAGATAGAGCACTGGGTCACACAGATCCAGATTCTGTTTCAGAAAGTAGACATTCGGCTCGCCAAGCCTCAGTTTCCTCCTCTGTACAGGGGGACGGTGACACTTCCAGTCAGCGTGAGCGTTAAAGAGCAGTGTGGGTGGAAAGTGTCAGATGGTGTCGGTCCCGCACAGATGGCGGGCTTGCTTTCCTCACTCTGAGATCCTGGTGACGTGCCTCTGGTTGCCTGTGACAGTGCTGGTCCTGTCCTTGTCCAGCATAATTATAAGTGGCACCACTGCTTTGCTTTCAAAGTGTCCCAATTAGGACAATAATGATATGGTCTCCCTAGTTAGAACCAGAAGTGTTTTAAACCCTGGTGAGTGTAAGAAATGACTCGAAGGCTTTTTATCATGTTTCCTGCCCACACTCTGTCACTTGCTCCCAACCTCGGCTTGGATTGCTGCCCACGGGTAAAGGCAGAGGTGGAGTGCTCGAGCCGGCACGTGCCTCACAGCTGTGTTTTGTAGAAAGGGGGCTCTTCCCTCTCTGAGGAAACACGTGACCATTTTAATGTCCTCTGCATCTCAGGAACCATTTGTAATCCTGGACCACGGAAATCTATGTCTAAGCTGCTTTACATCCGCCTGGCGCTCTTCCTGCCAGAGATGGTCTGGGCTACGCTGGGGGCCATCTGGGTGGCAGACGGCGTTGAGTGTGACAGGACAGTGGTGAACGGCATCATCGCCACCGTCATCATCAGGTGAGGTCTTCTGTGTCTCTGCTTTGTTTCTGGTTTCACAAGTACTTGAGACAGAGGTAGCAAACCTCTCTGAGCCACTTCAGATAGCTAGGTGCTTCCTGAAGTAGCTCGCAACTGGATCCCTTTGAGTAAATCATGGACATAAGAGTTGCTTGTTTATACATGAGAAATAATTCATCTTCCATTGTGAGTTTTTCTTTCTCACCAGTTCTCATTTTTCCGCATTCCTGCCCTCCTCGTATAAGAAGGAAGAAAACCTGGAGCCCAAACCAGAACTAGAGCTAGAAGAAATCAGTGCCAGGAGTTGTGCCAGAGAAATAATGTACAGGGATAAAACTTCACATAAAAAAGTCAGCACTGATCTCGTCACCTCCCCGTGCTGTCCACAGAGAGTGCTGTCTGGTGCTGCCCTTCCTGAGAGCCCCCAGCAGGGCCGGGACAGCCCTCACAGTGGCTCCTCCCCCAGAGCACAGGCTCAGGACACAGGACCCACACACGGGGGGCTCCCAGGAGCTGTGAAGGAAGATCAGTCAGAGCGCCCTGCCGCGTGGCACAATTCCGGGCTTGCCAGGAAGAACCCAGAGGCCCGAAGGAGCAAGGGCATGGGTGGTGGCCAGGGAGCTGCGGGACAAGGCCCTGCACCTCCCTCAGACGGTTCCTTTCTCTTGTGTGGTTTCTGCTTTCAGGGCTCAGGTCTCTGAAGGGCCTGTGTTAGTTGGGAGCTCATAAGAACTTTCTAGAAGGAGAAAGTCCCACCTCAGCCAATTTCTAAGAGAGCTCCGTCTTCCTCAGTGCGGAGATCCAGTGTGTAGAGGAACCGCTGGGCGGACATGCGGTGTCCACACGTGGACTGCAGTCATCGGGCCTCCTCTCTCTCTTGCAGCTGGGTTATCATCGCCTCCACTGTGGTCACCATCATCATCGTCTTTGACCCACTGGGGGGAAAAATGGCCCCCTACTCCGCTGCTGGCTCCACCCACCTGGAAAGTCATGAGTCCAGCCAGCTGTTTACTGGCCTCAGGACAGCAGCTACAAGTGTGTGGGAAACCAGGATCAAGCTCTTGTGTTGCTGCATTGGGAAAGACGACCATACTCGAGTTGCTTTTTCGAGTACGGCAGAGCTTTTCTCAACCTACTTTTCAGTAAGCTGAAGGGGTCTGGTCTGGTCTATTTTCTCTCTTTCTTTCTTTCTTTCTTTTTTTTTTTTTTAAAGATTATTTATGCATACAGAACTGGGGTACAGGCCAGAACAGGGGCAGTGAGAGGATTCACCAGAGACAAAGTAGGGAGCAGAACAGGCAGATGTGCTGAAATACACTGCTGAAGGGAGCAGCGAGCAAGACAGGAGAGGTCTGCTGTGCCATGTGGGTCACCTCTGGGGCGGAGATTGAACTCATGCTGCAGTGGCTGTGATAGCTTTATAGTGATGTGCTTTAACCAGTTGTGTCACCAGGGAGGGCCCCTGGTCTCTTTTTAAGTCACTGCCTCTTGTGTTAAGATGAGTATTCCATGTTTCAGGCCAGTCACCCTGTCCACATAAGAAAATTCTTGAGAACTTGTGGTCTGGGGGTGCAGGATGGAGACCCCACCTGGGTGGGTGCCTGAGCCTCCCAGCTCCGGTAACCAGGGCCCAAGTTTGCAGCCCTGGCCTCTGCACGGCCACGTGTTGGCTCCTGTTTGTTACACTGTCCAGATTGTGACTCAGTTCTTAAGGAACTGAATGATGGAACCTGTCCACTTTGGGGTGTGTTACCAGTTGTGTTTTCACGTTTGTGCCACCCTGTGGTGCTCAGCAGATGCCAGGGTCTCTTACCTAAGGAAGTATCAGCCTTGGTTTCTTACTGCTGCTTTTGTGATGGAAATGATAGATACTCTGCCTTCAAAGCAGTGTTTGAATAGATATGGCAATGCAGAAGGGTACCAAAATTCCAGAAGGATCTCTTTACTGATTTGGAAATGCTTGTTTTTTCCCACATCCAGTGTGTGGTTTTGTCTTGTCACATGATGTCCTCTGATGACCTGCTGTTGTGTTAGTGTTGACACTAAGTAAGGGAGAGGAGTTCTCGTGCCGTCTGCATGTCCGTTGGCTGCTTTGTCGCCTCCCTGTGGCATCTGACTTTGCAGTGCTCAGGGCTGGCCCCCAGCTATAACAGTGGTCTTCGTGTAGGGATTAGGCAAATACGTCTCCCTGAATAAGTTTAAAGGCATTAAGATGTTTGGGAGAAGGAAGAAGAGAATCTGGCTGTTCATAGAGACTGTCTTAAAATATGTCGCCGGCAAAATCAGTGACTCAGCCACGGAGTAGCAGGCTGGCCCTGCTTCAGCTGAAAGCACTGAAAATAGCTAAGGGTTCCTGCTTCCTCCTTACCCCTCATACAGGGGAAGAGGGAGGTCAGGCTCCAGAAGACTCACTCTGTTGCTTTCTTGAAGTTCTTTTGCTTATTTATTTTTTTGCATAGAACTGGGGTGTTAGGGAGTACGGGGTAGGGAGGGTTTGAGATGATTCACCAGAGAGTGGGGAGCAGAACAGACAGACTTATTGCCAAGGGGAGCAGAGGGCAAGACAGGAGAGGTTTGCTGTGCCATAGGTGGATTAGCTCCCTGGTCAGGGATCAAACTCAGGCCGTAGTGGTGACACCAGGTCACCAGGGAGAGCTTGGAAGTTCATTTTTAGGCTGCCTATACCAAATAAATCTAAGTTCAATTTGCACTATCTGAACAAAACTTTCATAGCCTCTTGAGCAGTGAGGGCAAAATGGACTGTTTCTACAAAATGGAGAACTTACGCATTTATTCCCCCAATTTGCAAAAGGTTGTGAAGTGGTTAAAAAGAGCTAGTTGGGCACTCCCTGGTGGTGCAGTATTATGAAGCTGTCATTGCAGCATGAGTTTGATCCCTGGCCAGGGAGGTGACCCATATGGCGCTGCAGACCTCCTGTCTTGCCCGCTGCTCCCCTCAGCAGTGTACTTCATCGATCTGCCTGTTCTGCTCCCCACTCTGTCTCTGGTGCTCTCACCCCCCACATCTCTGGCCTGTACCCCAGTTCTGTATGCATAAATAAATAAATATTTTAAAAAATAAGGATACGTTACTTGACATGAGACTTGAAAATAGAGAACAGCCAAATGTTCATTTTTCAGCAAATTAATCTGACAGCGCTATATAAAACGTGATGCTCACATACAGGAGGGTCCTCACAGGACTGTACTTGTAAAGACCCTTGTGAACGCGCCTGTCTGTGTGTGCGTGTGTGGGGTGTATGAAACTAGACTTTAAGGAACTCATGGGCACTTCTGCTGGGCTTTCTGACAAGCCACGGGGTTTCCATCCAGGACACAGACTTGGTGCCCAGCGACATCGCAGCAGGCCTCACCCTCCTCCATCAGCAACAGGACAACATCAGGAATAATCAGGAACCTGATGAAGTGATCAGCCACTCCCCAGAACCCTCCCAGGTAGGCTCCCGTTGCCAGTGTTTGTACAGAATAGCCTCTACCCATGTGTGGTTCTGATCAGGCTCAGAACCTGACTGTGGGTTCTGCTGTTTGAACTTTGTCCCCTGTTGGGTGAGGCGTTTTTTCTTATCACTTGCCGCTCAAGTAGGAGCCAGTTCCTGGCCAGTTCACTGTCCATTGTATTTTCAAAGTGCCCTCTTTTAGGAAGTTGGTATTTGGAGTCTGCACATCAGAAAAGTTCCCTGTGGGATGGGTGTTTCCCTTCGCCTGAGGAAGTCAGCTCTGCCTGATGTTAGCTTTTCTACCACAGACATTTATGCATTAGAAGGAGAAATGGCATGTAGGTGTAGTGTTCCTCTGCATCTTCCCCATGCACCTGGTTCTTAGCGGCTCAGTGGCGGGGATGTCGGCTTGCTGGACCGCAGTCTTCACAAGGGTCCGACGGGAGGTCACCAGCCTGTTTCACCAGGGGTTACTGGGTTTTTGCTATTTTGCTGTTAACTCTCACCATACTCGCCACATTCCTAACAACGAGGGTCCAGCAGTTTCAGGCTGTATTTAAGGCCCAGTGTCCCCATGGACATCCCCTGAGAGGTCAGGTTGGTGAACAGAGAAAGAGAGGAAGAGTCAGGAGCTGAGTTCAGGTTTAGGATGTTTAGTTCGGGTGTCTTGATCTTTTCCATGATGCATTTCCCTAAACAACAAGCTTTCTTCCTTCTCTTACAGGAAGCCGACCTGGATAGTGAATTAGAGAACTGCCATCATTACATGCAGTTTGCGGCCGCTGCCTACGGGTGGCCTCTCTACATTTACAGAAACCCGTTCACAGGGCTGTGCAAGATCGGTGGAGACTGGTAGGCTGGCTCCCGGAGGCCTCGGCTCTCCTAGCTGCTTGCTCTGGCACCTGCACTTTAGTTTCCAAAAATAGCCAATTCTCCCTTAAAAAGAAAACTTCTATTTTGAAATTCTTTGAAAACATGCACGAGCAGTGAAAAAAAACCCCATGCCTTTATTTACAGTCACCTATATCACCCATTTCTACCCCAGGCTGGGTCACTGTCCTCTGGCCAGGAGCCCCAGACATCATCCCCTTTTGTCCTTTAAGAACATGGGCTTTCTTTTCCCTAGCCACAGTGCAGCTGTAAAGTTCAGGAATGTGTTGCTAGTAATTAGCTAATTACAACGTGCGTTCAGATTTTCCTGTGCCCCAGCAACACCTGTCCCCTTAAGCTGTCCCCTCAGTCACTGTCTTCTGTGACGTTGGCATTCTGGGGACAATAGTCCAGATGTATGGTAGACTGGGCCTCTGTTTGCATTTGTCCACGTTTCTTTATGTTGCGGCTCAGGCTGTACATCAGTGACAGGAAGCCCTGAGAGGGTCTGGGCCCTCCAGCAGCCCGACCTGGGGCACGGGGCCTACCTGTTCCCTCTCTGGCAATGTGAGCATCCCTCCCATTCTTCATTTAATTAATTAATTTATTTATTGAATATCAGATACAGCAGCAACATGATTCTAGAAGGGCTCAAGTAAGATGCATACACAAAAATGTGTATCGTTTAAAGGCAATTATACGTCACCGGCTGTGTCTGACCTAGCCCTGTGCTTGCTGGGAAAGCCGGCCAGTGGGGCCCATGCCTCAGCACATACTAACAGCTCTGCCCTCTTCTCGTAGCTGCGGGAGCAGGACGACAGAGTATGAACTGGTTGGAGGCGATCAGCTCAACTGTCACTTTGGCTCCATTCTGCACACGACGGGGCTGCAGTACCGGGATTTCATTCACATAAGCTTTCACGACAAGGTGGAGCAGAGGCGGGCACTTACTGACTTCTGAATCTGGTGGAAGCTATGAATTACTCCCCTTGACATTAGACACATGTTCACTCACACTTTCAGCCCCAAATTTTCTAAGTCGTAACCCCTCCCCACCAGGTTTAATGCAAATGTAGCGAAACATCTCAGAGAAACCAAACTGCTGTGTTTCAGGGTGTGTCTGTTCATCTTTTACTGCAGTGGCAGTGGACCTCGGTGTCCTGCTCAGGTCTCTGCATTAGTGAATCCTCGTGCGGTCAGCTGCATCTCAGTCACGTAGTGTGGTGGCTCTCGCTGAGGGGGGCGTGGGTCCCTGGAAGCCCGTGGCCCTGCGGAGGTCAGGTCTTGGCTTCTGTGCCCTCACTCAGATGCAGCGCAGTTGAGGGTCGCTGGGTTTTAGTCCAGTAGCTCTCAAATGCTGCCTCATAGGATCTCTTGGGCAACTTTTCTAAATGCCCAGAGTCCGAGTCTAATTTAAATTGGAAGCTCTAGTAGTGTGACCAGCTCACAAGCCCACCCAGCGACTCTCCTGTGCAGACAACTAGGAGGCCACAGCCCCCAGCAAACTGGCCGCCACAGGGCTGCTTTCCCAGCGCCTACCCACACCGCTTTGACCCTCCCTCCCTGCCTCCCTCCAGGCTCCTTCTTCACCTTAACCCCGGACTTCATTATTCGTGTCTACTAGTTCGTTTAGAAATATTTTGCTTTGTCACATCTCTGGCTATAGCAATGTCTAGTATTTATCATTCTGACTTGTCTTGCTACACATAACACCCTCAGACATTTGGCTGTTAATGGCAGTATTGCATCTTTCCTTATGACTGAGCAGTGTCCCGTTGTGTGATATGCCACATTTTCTTGATCCAGCCCCCTGTGATAAGTAGCTGTAAAATAATGCTGCAGTAAACATTGTACAGCATCTAATTTTTTTATTTGATTATTTCAAGTTCTGTGGATAGGTGTCCAGGAGTGGCATTGCTGGGTCATAAGGTATTCCTATACTTAAGATAACCCCAGGTCATGTTCCGCTGAGGCTGTACCGGTCTGTATTCCCACCAGCGGCGTGGTAGGTCCCCTGCTCCACACCCTCCCCGCACTGTGTGTTGGGCGTCTTCAGCAGCCTCGCTGAGGACTCATCTCTCCTTACTGGAAGCTTTTATGAATTTTTTTCATGTTATCTATTGGCCTGGTGAGTTGTCATTTCAGGTCTGTCCGTTTATTAGTTCATTTTTTAACTGTTAAATTGTATACTTTTCTTAGCCATTGTGGGTATTAGCCCCTTGTTGGTTGTGTCATATGTAAATATTTCTCCCACTCAGCAGGATGTCTTCTTAATCTGCTGTGTTTTGTTTCACTGTGTAAAGCTTTTTACTTGAGGTCCGCCCAGCTGTTTGTGCTTTCATTTCCATTGCCATGGAGATAAATCTCCAGAGTCATCTTTATCGTTGATATCATTGGGTGAATCGCCAATATTTTCTTCTACATATTTCATTGCTATCAGTCTTCAACTTGTCGTCAATCCACTTATACTTGTTTTCGTGTATGGTGTTAAGGAGTGAGCTTTGCCATGTGGCTGCCCGGTGCTCCTGGCTTCTTTACCGTGAGAGTAAAGTACTGACGTATCTGTTGATTCATTTCTGGACTTCAGCTCTGTCCCATTGATCTGTGTATCTGTTTTATGACAGAACCATGTTGTTTGAATGACGTTGGCTTTGTAGTATAAAGTTAGGTAGTACTCCTTTGCTCTCAGGATTGCTAGTTGAGGCCTCACAGGGTTCCATATGATTTTACTATTTTCTTGAGTTTCTTTGAAGAATCTTGTTGGTATTTCGATGGAGATTGCATTAAATTTATGTATGACTTTTGGTAAAACAGTGTTTCTGGCAGTATTTCTTCTTCCTACCCATGAGCATGAAATGTCTTTTCATTGTGTCCTGATCTAAGTCCTTTGATGTGGTGTATACCAACTTGGTTAGGTTAATTCCTAGGTATTTGATTCATTTTGAAGTGATTGTGATTGGAATTATCTTCTGAACATCTTTTTCTGCTCCTTCATTGTATATAAAAATGAAACTGACTTTTGTATATTGATTTTATAAGCTAAGTAGTATCTTTGGAAACAGCATTTGTCCAGAGGGGTAACGACAGTTGATCACCGCAGACCTGGGTTAATTTAACCCTCTGGTGATGCTGAGCCAAAATGAAGAAGGGGGAGTTTTGTTGTTGTTGTTGTTTTTTAAGATTTATTTATTTATGCATACAGAACTGGGGTACAGTCCAGAGGTGCAGGAGGTGAGAGAATTTACTAGAGACAGATTGGGGAGCAGATCGATGAAGTACACTGCTGAGGGGAGCAGCGGGCAAGACAGGAGAGGTCTGCTGTGCCACGTGGTCACCTCCGGGGCTGGAATCCAACTGGCACCAAAGCAGCTGTGGCCAGCTCCCAGTGCTGCGTCTTAGCCCGTTGCACCACCAGGGAGGGCCAGGAGGGGGAGTTTGTAACCTTTGTGAACAGTAGCAGATGTGATAGGTTAGAGAAAGGGGAAAGAATAAAGCAAAGGACACTTGTGGTTCTTCGCATAATGGACTCAAGCCCTTCAGAGATGTACCGCCCCCAAAGCTGGTTACAGCGCTGCCACTTTCCGTTTTAGCCAACCTGACAAAAAATGAAGGAACAAGAAAACAAAGGTACTTTCTCACCTGTATGTCCCAGAGCAGTTTTAGCCCCAGTATGTCCGATACACCCTTCACTCCATGTTGGGCGGGGGAAGGTGAGCTGTGCTGTGAGGGAAGCAGGTGTTTCCTAGTGAGGTCTCACGCCACTCTCTCTCCCCTCAGGTGTATGAGCTGCCCTTCTTAGTGGCGCTAGACCACAGGACAGAGTCTGTCGTGGTGGCTGTGAGAGGAACCATGTCTCTCCAGGTCAGCAGTCTGACCCCGCTGGTCAGGGCCGGGTGGGATCGGACAGCTTGGCCAGCAGGGTTGCAGATGCACCTGTCCCCTGCCAAGTTACAGCATCACAGAGGAAATGTGGAAGCAAGTCTGGGTTGTGAAATGTGCCCTTTGAAAACCTGGATGAAATTAGTTCCTCCTCGCTGAAAATGTCAGAAACATGATGCTAGTGCCAGGCCCTGTTCAAGGAGCTCCCCAGGGTGCCCGAGGGACCCCCGAAGTGTCAGGCCAGGTCTCTAGCCTCCCATTCCTGGCTCCCAGAGCTGGATGGGGGTGGTGGACTAGGGAGAGGTCTCAGAAGTCACAGAGCCTTCACCAGCTGTGCGCCCAATGCCCTTCCCCATCCATCTGCCCCTGCCAGCTGTCGCAGCCTGTGCCCCGGACCGTTCTCCCAGGTGCTGCCCACATGCCCTCTACCAGCCCTTGTGACCCCTCCCAGCTTGCCCCTCCGGCCCCGCTGCCCTGTGGAGGCACCAGACGGCTTTCTCCTTCTGATACCTTCTTCCCGTCATGTCCATGGTGTCTTCCTGGTCTCTTGACAGACCCTCAGCCTCACTTTCTGGTTCTTCTCCGCTGGCGCAGAACATGCCGTGAGCCCCCACCCTTCCTGCCTACCCTGGCCAGGGCTGGGTTCAGCTCTGCCTCTTGACCAAGATCCCATACCTGCAACTGCAAGAGCCCCTGGGTCTCCCCAGAAGCACCCCAGAAACCAGATCCCGACCCTCCTGAAGCTGCTCCTCCTTCCGGTCCCCCTCCAGGCACTCCCCACAGTAAAGACATAGTGTCCCCAGATGCCCTCAGTAGACACAGGTGTGGTCTTGGGTTTCTCCCGCCTCTCTGCCAAGCCTGTGGAGTCCCTGCCCTGGCCGAGTCTCGCTGACCCTTTCTCTTCCCTGGGTCAGTGAGATCACCTTCTGCCTTGATACCTGTCTCCGCTTCATCTTCCAATCTGTGCTTTATGTTGTCTACAGAGTGTATGTTCTAGAACACAGTCAGCTCCTAGCACCACTCAGAAACCTCCAGCAACCCCCTCACTCCTCACCTTTAAATAGCATCCGTGTTGCTCATCACAGCTTTGGATGCTCTGACTCGACCCCAGCCTACCTTTCTGCCCCACTCTGAGCTCCACGCCCTGTCGCCGTGCTGGCGCGGCAGTCAGGGTGGAGCCTCCCCCAGGGGTGCGCCGTCCTCTCATCTCTGCCCATGGCCCTTCTGTGGCCTCACCCGCTTCCTGGGTCAGACACACCTGCTGGGCCCCGCTGCTCCGGCTCCTGAAAGCAGCTTTTCCTTCCAGACTCGGGAGCCACCTCCCCGGAATCCTCCCTGCCCGCAGTGCCAGCCTCCCTCTGCTCAGCCTGGCATACCTCTCCCACCCTCTGTTGCTGAAGCATCCGCTGGGCACACTCTGAGGAGAGGACTGTGCTTCTGTTCAGACCCGGTGTGGGGCTCCGCTCGGCGCAGCGGGGGCCGGAGAGCTGGGCCTGTGAGGTGGGCCGTGTTGGCATGCCTAGCGCAGAGCCACCTGCCCCTGGGCTTGTCCCTGGGTTCAGGTGTCGCAGGCTGGCCAGGAGGCCGCCCCACTGCCATGCCAGAGGGCCCCCGCGCGCAGCCTCAGACACAGGCTCGGCCGCTGATGCCTCCCCTTCGGTGCCCCTTTCGCAGGACATCCTGACGGACCTGTCAGCAGAGAGCGAGACCCTCAACCTAGAGTGTGAGGTGCAGGACTGTTGGGCGCACAAGGTAGGCTTTGGGGCCCGGCACACTCCACCCAGGAGAAACTGAGCGGGGATGGGAGTGTCCCAGTCTGTCCTGTTACTGCTCAGCGCTGGTCGCCCTGCTGAAGCGGTGCCAGGGAGCCGGTGCCAGCACGGCCACAGCGGGCGTCCTCACACCGCCCTGAGACGGCCTCCGGGGGAGAAGCAGGCGGAGGCGCGAGCACCCGAGCCTCAGAACGAGGCCCAGGAGCCCAGGTCCCCGCCAGGAGAGCGGCCTGCCCTTCCCTGCATGTCCCGTAGGTGTTGTCAGGTGTCAGAACACCCGGGTTCTGGCTTCGCGCCGCTGTGTGGGAGGGCAGAAGCTCTTCCCGTCTACAGACTGCACGTTTTCACTTCAGCCATTTGTAAATGTGCAGCTCAGCAGCAGTGAATGCGCCAGGGTGCTGCGAGCCCGCCTCTACGCCCAGCTTTCTCTCACCTCCCCGAGGCCACCCCGTGTGCCGGTGCCGCCTCTTGTCTGCCCACTCACCCGCAGGACACTGGTGCTGTCACCGCCTCCGGCTGCTGCATGTTAGAAGCGTGGGCTCTCGGGAGCCATGTGGATCCCCGCCCTTGATTCCCCCAGACATACACCCAGTAGCTTGCAGGGTCTGCTGCTGTTTCTATATTGGACTTTTTGAGGAACCGTCAGATTGCTTTTCTTGTGCATTTGAGCTGTTCCACCCCCCCCTCACCTCCCAGCACTGTTTGAGGTTTCTCATTTCTCCACATCCTTGTCAACATTTCTTTTCCATGTCTTGATCCTAGCCTTGCTGGTGGGTATGAGGTGGATCTCACTGTGGTTTGGGCTTGTTTGCCCGGTGACTAGTGAGGTTGCAGAGCGCAGTGTTTTAGCACTTGGGAAAGTCTGAAATGATTTCCTCCTACCAGTCTGGGGAGAAGGTCAGTCAGGACGTCAGGGGTGGGGGCAGGGGGCTGATGCTGTTTTCATGCACTTCACAGGTATTTTTAACCGAAGTATATATTTCTTTGGTAATGACATTTTATTTAAAATAAGGTACTCAAGAGACAGAGCAGCAGAGTGTAGCTGTCAGAGGTCAAAGGCAGCGGCCTGCCTGGAGGCGGCTGTCTGCAACCAGTTAGAAACTTGCAGTGCTAGGAATTTTTTTTTTTTATCTTTTTGTGCTTTGGTTTTCAAAAGTTCATTTAAGGATAGGAAAAGAAAAAGAAAAATCTCAAGCACATCAAAGCGACACCTCAGCCAGCTAACTGCAGATGCCTTCCGGTGCGGTGGGCTTGTGGGCTTGGTGGGCTTGTGGGCTTGGTGGGCTTGTGGGCTTGGTGGGCTTGGCCGTGGTCCTGGCCTCACAGGAATTTGCCTGCAGGTGGTTTTCTCTGACCACAAGCCGAGGAGGCCCCTCGGGTGACAGCCGCGGCATTTTCTCACCCCTCCTTCAGTAACAGGTCTTCCCTCAGATTAGGACAGCAGCGCCATGGCCCCCGGCAGGCGCCATGCTGTGCTCTGGGCACTGGCTGCACCAGCTCTGCCCTGGGCAGCCCGGGCCGTCGTCCGCACAGAGCCGACCGCGGGGCGCCTGGCAGATGTGGTGCTGGCAAAGCGCTGCATCACTGCAAGGTGGAGAGGGGGTAGCGAGGATCTGCCGTCAGGTTTGCTCAGAACATCGAAGCCCCGGAGCCTCCTAGCTCTCGATGGTGCTGCCAGCTCATGTTCTGCTGTCAAGTTCAGGACCGAGGGCGCCGGCACGGTGGGGTCTGCTGCGGCTGGAAGGCAGGGCCTCTCCCCTCGTGTCACGGAGGCGGCGCTCCGGAAGGTGCTGAGCTGTGTGCCTTCCCAGGAGCCTGTTTCTCAGAACAGATGTCAGAAAGTGTTCCACTTTATTTCTTTAAGCCAAAACCTGATCTCCCTTGGAGTCACTTCTGATGAGGAACAGAGGATGCTTAGAACTTTGTGTCAGTTATAAGATCTTCATTTATAATCTGACCAGCCACACAGACTGGGCTGACATCCGCTGCACACACACAGCCGAGCAGGGTAGCTACAGAAAAGGGCGTCGTGGGTGTCGCTGAGGTGGGAGGGTGTCCTTGGTGTGCTCAGTTTCAGGGAGCTGTGTTCTGAGCACCCACTGCGTGCAGTGGCTGGAAGCAGGGGAGGTGGCTGCTGCGCCCAGACGTGCCTGTTACTTGAGCAGTGTCACTTTGTCATGTCTTGATGGAACCTGCCATCTCAGATGCTCAGTAACCACCTCCTTTGTCTGCATCTTTAGGGGATTTCTCAGGCTGCCAGATACGTCTACCGTCGACTCGTCAACGATGGGATTTTGAGCCAAGCCTTCAGCATCGCTCCTGTGAGATTTTACTGAGTCTTCATTATGTTCACTTCTCCGTCATGAGCGGTGTTTTCAACCTTGTGTCGCTCTGCCCTGCCCACTAGGAGTACCGGCTGGTCATCGTGGGGCACAGCCTGGGGGCAGGCGCCGCAGCGCTGCTGGCCATCATGCTGAGACACTGCCACCCGCACGTGCGCTGCTACGCCTTCTCCCCGCCCCGGGGGCTGCTGAGGTGCGTCTGCTGCCAGGCCCGGTCAGGCTTGTCTTTTATTTGTGATTACAATTTTACTGCCTCCCAAGTTTGAATGGTTTAGTTGAAGGCTGAACACTCTTGCTAGGCCTTGTTGTCTACACCTTACATTTCCTAAATGATACGAAGCTAAGACTCATTGCTTGTTTCGATGAATCTGAAAAGTGCACCTTTCTTTCCTGACTCAGCACACTTCGCCCACAAGTGTCACCTTTTGGCCTGATTGTGCCAGAATGTGCTACACGCCGCACTCACGTCTCTGACCTCTCCTGCATGTCCTCTGTGTCTTTCTTCTATACTAGTTCTGGATATTTCATTCAGATCTGTTTGCTAGTCATGAATTCTCTCTTCAACTGCTTATAATACTATGTAAAATTGTCTTTTGTTTCATTATGGAATTTCATACAAAAGAATTCAAGCAAAAGTAAATAGCATAATGAACCCCCATTTAGTCAGCTTCAGTAATTCATTAAAATGTAACTTCATCTGTTTGCATATACCCAACCCTACTTCTCAGATTCCCTTTGTAAGACTGCTCTGAGGAAATCTGGATTACTTGTGAGCGAACAAACCTGGGAATACCTTAATATATCTTTAAAAAATAAGGAACTTTTTTTTTAAGCTTTATTTATTTATGCATACAAAACTGGGGTATAGGCCTGAGGTGCAGGGGCAATGAGAGGCTTCACCAGAGACAGAGCGGGGAGCAGAACAGGCCGACTGATGAAGTACACTGCTGAGGGGAGCAGTGGGCTGGTCAGGAGAGGTCTGCCACCCTTGTGGATCACCTCCGGGGCGGGCAGGATTGAACTCATGCTGATGTGGCTTTAGTTTCTTAGTGCTAGGTTTTAACCCAGGTGCCACCAGGGAGGGCCTCAAAAATAAGGAACTTTTAAAAACTGATAATTCCTTGATCCTACTAGTTGCTCACATTCTTCCAGTTACCTCATAAATAGTTCCCACATTGGATATGGTGAACTTGTCTTGTAACTATCATTTCCTTGCAACTTTACTAGCTAAAAATTATAAAGAACTTTTCTAAATAATTGGTTACTCTGGGTTATAATTTACTGAGAAAAAGTAGTAGTTGCACAAATACTTGAATCTTTCCTTGTTTGCGCATTGGTGGGAATAACAACCCGTGTCCCAGCACCTCAGAGGCAGGCATTGTCTTAAGCAGGTTTTATAAAGCTGAGAGCTGTCTTTCAGCCCATCGGTGGGCCTGGGGCATTCACCCCGCTCTTCCAGCCAGGCCCTCAACCATTGCATCCTGACGTCACCCCCTTGTCTGGCGTCTTCTTGCTTTCTGATACAATAAATTAGTCTCAACTGTTTGTTCTGTTTTTTATCTGAAATCCAGCCCTTCCCCAAGGAATATCGGAGCAGGGGGTGGTGCTCCAATATTCATCTCGCACGTGCAGGCCTGGGACACCAGGCTCTGTGAGGGGAAAGTGGTGGAAATGTAATTGTTGCATTGATGCTTTCAGTTTAAAGATCAGGGCGTAGTAATTGTTCACTAGTATACTTGGTATTTACCGAAACTTTGCATTGTTATGCTAAAAATGTTTCTGTCCAGATTGATCTAAATTTAATTTGCATTTCCCGTCTGTCTGCACGTGTGCACACCCCATGTGTGCGTGAACTGGTCACTTTCCAGTGGCTGTAGCTACACTGCAGGTGCTCGCGCCTGCTTCCGTTTGTTCCAGCTAATGCTCCTCCGGGCTCTGCAGCCACTGGGGTTTGAAATCCAGCCTCTGCCTGGCTGATGTCCTACTAGGTCCATTTATTTCATCTGGCTTTTAATGTTAGGGACTGCTTTTGATGTTACAATTTTGCTTATAATTATATAGAACAGTGACAATTTCAAAGACAGGAACAGTGTTCCAAAGCCAGGAACTTCTAGAGAAGTCTGTCCTTTCTCGCCAAGCTAGAGGCAGCCATTTCCAGTAGTTCTGACTCACCCTTCAGTGCTTGAGGACAAGCAGTGCACTGCACGTGTCTCCGTGTCCTGCTGCTGGGCTAGACCAGCTCGGACTGGGTGCGGGCCTCGGCAGCTGTGAGCTGTGTCGCCAGGATGGGCTTTGGGACTCTTCGCCTTTGCTACTACGTCATCACTCTGTCCTGCGGTTCTCATCAGTCTTTTGATTTTCATACCACAGGCACCTTGGGTAGATTCCTCCAGTGAGGCTGCTGGGTCAAAGGTTAAATGTGGACACTTGGCCCACGCTTTTGATTGACCAGCCAGCCAGCAGGTGCTCTAGTTTTCATTTTTACTCCCCTTCAGGGGACAGAGAACAGGCTGGGGTGCATGGGAACTGACCTGACTATCTGGATTTCTCTTTGAAGCCTTCTGTAACCAAAAATCTTCTCTATCTTAACTTTTCCTTTCTTTGACATTTCAGCAAGTCTCTTTATGAATACTCTAAGAAGTTCATTGTGTCCCTTGTCCTGGGCAAGGATGTGATTCCCAGGTAAGTGTGCTAGATGCTTTGTTGGGGTTGATAGATGAAATGACCAAGTACTGAGCCTCAATCTGATTTTTGGCTAAACAGATTAAGTGTGACCAACTTGGAAGATTTGAAGAAGAGAATCTTGCGGGTGATCGCTCACTGTAATAAGCCCAAGGTAATGTGGGGGTGTGGGCCCACCCACGGGCCCCCATTGCAAGGGCATTTCTGGACTCAGCCTCGGAGCCCAGGGTACTGACCCTGGCTGAAGTGCCAGCACTGCTGGCTCCTGGCTGGTGGTGTAGCTGGCGCACAGGAGGCAGGTAACCAAATCCAGCACTCACACGCCAGGGCTAGAAAGCACCATACTGGAACCATCCCTGCGCTAGTCAAATGATTGCTTCCTCGTATTTCTTAGGCCTGACTCGCGACCAACTTTTTAGATCCCAAAGGTTACAAAATCGGAAGGAAATGTGTTCTTGATGTGAATGGCTGGTCACTTCTTGGGTCTGGAAACACCATTATCATGGGAAGTTTTTGAGCATTCCAGACTCAAAACATGAGCAACTAATCATATCAGATAGGAACACCTGCTCTCAGGTAGAAGGGGAAACCTGTCCGCGAGTTCTGGCAGAACTATACTCCAGTGTGGTTTACATTTAGAGACTAGGAGTAAAGATAATTTTCTCTTTAACCTGTTTTCTGACACTTTGATTTTTGTTGCTAAACTTTCTGGTTATCAATCCACCTCCTCAAAACTTAAAAAAAAAATGTCTTTATGGGAAAAGTAAAAGCAGTCCACAGAATTGTCTGTAAAGAATTAAGGGTAATTTTCCCTCAGATGCCTGATTTGTTTTTAAATATGCTGCCAGTGTGCCAGCACACTGTCCCAGTTTGGGCTCACGGCCCTCCTGCTGAGTCCATGGAAACAGATGGCTGCACTTGGGAGCTGCAGACCGCGTCCCCTGGCACGGACTCAGGGGCCGAGGGGCTCTGCAGTGACAGGACTGTTGCTTTCTTGGGTCTCCCCCTCAGTACAAGATCTTGTTGCATGGGTGCTGGTATGAGCTGTTTGGAGGGAACCCTGACAACTTCCCGACAGAGCTGGATGGGGGCGACCAGGGAGACCTTACACAGCCTCTTCTTGGAGAGCAGAGTTTGCTGACGCACTGGTCCTCAGCTTACAGCTTCTCCAGCGACTCTCCCCTGGAGTCCCCCAGCAAGTACCCGCCTCTGTACCCTCCGGGCAGGATCATCCACCTGGAGGAAGAGGGCACTTCAGGGAGGTGAGTGGGGGGCGGGGGGGGGGGCAAGCGCAAGCCCACTCCCCACCAGTAAAGGTGCTCGTACACATACATGACCGAGCACACACATGCTTTCATGTGTTAACTGTCTGTCTTTTCTAGGTTTTGCAGCTGCTCTACTGCTCAGTATAGTGCAAAGTGGGCAAATGAATCAGAATTCAGCAAAATACTCATTGGCCCGAAGATGCTAACAGACCACATGCCAGACATCCTGATGAAAGCCCTGGACAGTGTGGTGTCTGACAGGGCCACCTGCATCTCCTGCCCAGCCCGAGGTGGTTCTCATGGAGGCATGGCATAGCCAGGGCTCCTGGACACCGCGTTGGGCATTGTTCTTAAACTGACTTTCCCACTGATTTCCATGATGCCAATTTCTTGGATGTCTACAGATAGGAATTTGATGGATATCAATTCAGTGATCATCCCAATGACTGAGTAATCTGAGAAATGGTCTTGATCATAGAATGCAGCAGGAGTCAGGAGACAGCACCGAGGACAAGGCAGTTCTCAGTGCTTTGGGAAGCCCTTTCCCAATGGTGTTGGCCCAGATTTCCTGGCAGTACCCTAGCCAGGTGTGAAGCCCTAATCCATCTGTAGACTCTTACTCAAGCGCCCTTCGCACTGCTGGGGTCTCCTTTGAGTCTAAAGCTGATATGCAGGTGTGCAGTTTACCTGAGGTTGGGTGGCTATGCATACGCAGTTGTGAGGGTGCAGATGCGTTGCACTTGGTGGCACAAGGGTCAGCCCTGAGCTCCAATTGGGAATCAAGGCCGAGTCAAGTCAAGGAAATGAGTTGGTGGCTCCTGCCCTCAGAGCTGCCAGACTCCATTTCCACCAGGTGGTTTCAGCCACACCGCGTCGTTACTCATAACATCAGGTTCTGGCTCTTGGAGGGCAGCCAGTGGATTCAGAGGGAGTTAAAGAAAATAAAACACTTAACGGCAGTCGTGTCTATATGATGAGGTCGCTTCCAACAAAGTTTTTTACTGGGTGGCTTTAGCAGTATTTTAAAGGTTTTCTGTTAACTGTAAATAGCAAAGTCAGTCTCTGAATTTTCAAGTTTTCTTAGTACTGTGGCTAAAGACAGGCTGTATACAGTTGTGTGGGCACCTGATCTCCCAACATAGCACAATAAAATGACAAATGACCAAGGATGAAGAGAAATCAGATGGCTGCCAGTAAACTGAGTCCTGAGTGGGGATGTTAAGACCTGGACCAGCCTGATGCAGAGCCCAGGTTCCTACATGCCCGAGGTGGGAGTTAAGCAGACAGCAGGGGCCACGTCAGAGTAAGGTTTACTGGGAAGGTGGCCGTCGTTTGGGAGTGGAGGTACAGGACATCAGCAGGTTGAGGCTCCTCAACCCTCTACCAGGCACCTCGGACCTACAAGGAGATTCTGCAGGGAAACCTAACCTCACAGTAGGGCCCTCAGCTCTTGCAGCCACACCACCTTGGAGTTTCTGAAAACCTGCTAAGGACCATTTACGTAACAGCAAGTTTCACTTCTACATAAATTCCTGCACACATCTAGGTAAGAGGTCTCAGACAGATGCAGACCAGCCCTGCCTTCTGAGACCCCCCTGTGCGCTCGGTTTCCTGTCTGCCTTTTCAGGTTCTCATCTTTTATTTAAACTCAAGCCAGACAATTGCTAGACACTTAAACAGGATACCTAAAGCAGCAGATACAGGAGATACTTCAACCTGTCCCAGCAGAGAACAGAAGTGCCAGAGTCACCAGGTTAATCTGTGGGGCTAGAAACACAAATGAGTAAAAGCAAACACTTGGAGATCAGAAGCATGAAAAAGAAATTCAAAAGCAGTCAGAATGACACCTGGATAACAGAACACAGGTATCTAGACAGAAGGAGCCCAAGTGCAGAACAGGGACAGGGAAGGAAATCCTGTGAAGGGAAGTCACTCCCAAGCTGGAATTTTAGATCCAGCCAAAAGTTACTGGGGTGGAAGTAGTTACTCCACAAGAGGTGACTCAACCACAGCCTTCCCGTACATACACCTCAGGAAGCCGTCAATCTGGTTGAGATGGAAGAAAAACAGATAGGAAATCACAATGAGAACTGGCGGGCAGATGATTCTCAGTTGGAAAATGAAAGCAGATATAACAATACATTCAAACAAAACTGAATAGCAGATGAAAACTGTGTAGAAAACTAAGCAAAAGTAGTATTCCCAAAGAAACCAGAAGTACAGGGCAAGTTTGCCACATAGCTCAGCTGTTATTTACAGTAATAATAGTATTGATCCATAGTGTACTAGTGAACAAGCAACCACACTATACTGAGCAGATGGGAAAGGTGTGTTGGGTTGGAGGGGAGCTGTACTGGTAGGAAGGAGAAAGTCCGCGTCCATGATGGGCACACCAGTAGTAATGACTGAAAGTGAAAGTGCTACCTGGCAACAGAGGTAGTGACTTAGCCTGACCCCTTAGGGAGTGGGGGGACCCAATCACCAGTGGCTACCGATTTGCTCAGTCATACCTAGGCGATGGCCCCTCCAAACCCCAAAAGGGCAGGCAGGGTTCAGAGGCCTTCTAGCCGGTGGGCACGTGGAGGTACAGTCAGTGGCATACTCAGTCTGGGAGAGCCACACCCTGCCACACACTTCACCCTGTGCGTCTCTGCCTTGCTCCTGCATTAAGATCCTTTTATAGCTGACAATCTAGTGAGAATAAAAAAAGCATTTCATTTAAACAAATATCAAGAATTAAAGAATTTAAATAACAGCTTCTAGGGCAACTATGAAACTAGCAAACTTTGAAGACTGGTTCTTTAAGCTGTTCGGTTAAAAAGAGTCCTTTGAACGTCAATTTGAACATGAACTTTTCACAGTACTCATCTCAGGTTCCCAACAAGCTGCCAATTCTGGTCCCAACATCTGCATTTCCAGTGTGGCCGGCCAGATTTACAAAACGGCCCATGAATTCCACCATCCACACTACCAAAAGGTTCCACAATGAACATCATCTCCCCTCCCTATACCCCTACCACCCAGTTTATTCACCCATCTTCTTCCCTGGAGGGTCTGCTCCAGCGTAAAACTGTTGAAAATTAATGTCTCCCCAAACCCAGGACTTTAAAGTGAGGCAAACACACACACACACCAGGACTGTTCATCAAAGTCTCAAGAATTCAATTACAGTCATATGATTCAAGGATTTATTAAGTCATACATGCAAAACATACTGCTAATTGCATTAGCAAAAAGATCAATGTAAAAACACTCCACAATTCTGCAACTGTCAATTAAAAAATTTTGTTCTAGTGGTTGAATGGTCCAACCCTTGTATTCTCGCCAGTGAGTAAGTTGTACAGAACTCTGTTAGTGTGAGCACGGGCTTCACAGAACCTCAGACCCAAAGGAGTGGTGTTAGAATAGTGACAGGAAGCGTGTCTGGTGAGTGAGGCAGGAGGCAATATTAGTCAAGGTACAGTGTTGGTGATCTGGCAAGACAGTGATGTTAGAAGGTTCATAGTTTATCTAAAATATTTAAAAAACTGTAGAGCTGCAACACATGATTTTTACACCTAGTTACTAGAAAACTAAGGAAAGCACTTATTAAGCTTTGAATAAAGTATCATGAAAACAGGAATGCACTTTTACTAATCTACAAAATAAAGTCTAATGCATTATCAGAAAGATTTTATTATACAAGGAGGCATATTGCTCATTAAGAAGGGTTCTATAAGAAAAGCACTAAGTTAGCAACTATAGGAATGACCATTTAAAGACAAATTAAAAACGCCCATTTTAGGGAGGGATGACAGGTTTAAGAAAAAGTATAAGAAAACACTGATAATACCAACCTTTCTTCATCATCTACCTGCATCTGACAGAAATTAAGCTTGAAAATTTTTCACCCGTGACGCTTACTCGTTTTAATCGTTACATGTACAATGCAGTGTAAATTAATCTCCACTCTGTATTTTGTCAAAATACTGTCTTCATCCTTTGATCAATCACATCAAGTGTTCCGCACACTCCACCCAGTGCACCCTGGCGAGAGCAGAAATACTTCGAGGGAACACGTGAGTAAGAGTTCTGTTCAAAATATGAGCAAAAGCTAATACACTAACAGTTTTTCTTAATTTCACTACGAAAGCAAAAAGACTCATCCAAAGAGTTGAGTTGTTACACTCATTCCATGATGACATACAGTACAATGTTAGGTCATGAACATGATAAATTATTGGTGCATTAAATGGCAACATTTTATGAAGGAGGCTGTCCTGTTTTTCCTATCTCAAACTACTTAAAAAGTGTCTGTGTTTCCTAACTTCAGAAGCTACAATCTTCTTGAAGACAAAGGTCTTAAAACAGTTTAGTGCTTAGTGTTCTTAGCACAACAATGCAACTTAGTTTACAAAGTATTTTGGCAACTCTTAATATGAACAGGAATAAGGGTTTTTGAAAAATAAGGCTTTAAGAAAGCGTGTTTTAGGGCTAAATTTTAATAGGATGTGAAAGTTTGAACTCTTTAAACAAAATCTTAAAATTACTGATTGGTTCAAAATGGTTTTATGGAGAAACTAATCTGTAACAAAAACTTGGCATTGAGTGCAAAGGCTCCACCGTTTTTTTGAGCAAAGCATACAAAGGGCAGGCAAGGCTCGGAGATTTACAACAGCAGGCATTTTCTCTTCCTCTTCTTGACAGGAGGTGGGCAGAGAACCGCTCGAATAGCTTCGTCAAACACTGTCTTGAGGCCCCGCTGTGTGAGAGCTGAGCACTCCAGGTATTTCACAGCACCTGCAGAGAAACAGCGTCACATGCAGCGCACTCGGGGGCCCTTCAGATGGCAACAGGGGCCGGGGGGAGCACCCCAGCCTTTGCCCACCCTCCAACTGGTACAGCAGAGTAAGCACCTGGCCTGCAGCCACCTCCCCAGTGCTAACCCCAAGGGCCTAAATGCTTCCCCAAACGTCAGCCAGACCCTGAGTCAGTAGTATACTGGACTCCAGCCTCTCATGAAAATAAAAGCATGTGCAAAGCAGAAAAATGCAAGATTTCATACCAATCTCCTTAGCCATGGCTAAGCCTTGTGGGTAGGTGATGGGCGTCAGCTTCTTCTCCTTCAGCTTCTCAATTGTGTCTTTATCATCCCTAAGATCAAGTTTAGTCCCCACCAGGATGATGGGAGTATTGGGACAATGGTGCCGCACTTCAGGATACCACTGGACATGAAAGGAGGAGCACAGTTAGGACACCGCCAAGTCCCTCTGCCTCGATCAGACACCCCACCCAGGCACGGTGCGCCTAGGGGCCCACCTCACTCCCACCCCCAGGGACTACCTGTGGGTGTCTGATTAGCAAGGCAGGACCACCAAGATTGAGACTGCCCACAGAAGAATGGGCTCCACTTGTCAGGAAGAGCAAAGAGGAGAGAAGAACAGGTCCCCCCACCACCACCACCACCAAAAAAATCATTGTTTCTGGTAAAGTGAGTGAAGTTCTTAGGTCATCTCAGCAAATTCTTCATATATTTAGGGGTGAAAATAAACTACCCTGACCAAGGTCTTAGTCCTGTGGCATCACCCCTCTCCATGACTACTGCCCAACGACAGCCTGTATGTGTCATTTTCACTAAGAAATAAGTCTGTCAAGGATTCAGAAATAGAAAATAATCTTTATTTTTATAAGGACTCCAAAGTGTTTCACTATTTAACAAGAAATATGGCACTTCTGAAACTTCAGATATCTACATACTACAGTCAATATACTGAAAAATATCAGTGCCATTTTTTTTTTTTGTTTCTTCCTGAGAATGACATTATATAGCAAAAACCTCCCTTACCTTTGCACGGACATTTTCAAATGATGCAGGACTCACAAGAGAAAAGCAAATTAAGAAGACATCCTACAAAGGAAACACAGGAGATGTAAGGACACACTCTCCCAACACTAAGCGGCTTTGCTTTCTCAACACTGTGGGGAGCCACTGGGCCTCAGGGCTCAGGCGCCCGACAGCCCCTCACACCTGCTTGGCTCCGTCAGATGGCCCCCAAAGTGGAGCCAGCAAACGAAGTGGTCAGTCACCAGGCAAGATGTGGGAGACACACGCCACAAGTTCCCGGAGGCTTCAGAAGCCCCAGACCCCGGGAAGGCCTCTTCTTCACCACTCCTGATGCCCACTAGGAACCCGCTAGTCTGTTATGAACAGGGGCAAATTTGCATGTGAAGGTCCTACTCCTACTCTAGTATTTCTGTAAAATGTGGTCTTTCTCCTAAAAGAAAAGGTCACTTTTAAAATGGTTATCTACAAGTGTTTTTTCCTTCAGTTCCCTTCTGCATGTGAAGAGCGCACACTTGATAACCACTGGTCTCACTTATCAGCCCCTTCTGAATAGCTGTGGAGTCCCCGTGCCATGTGAGGCTCAGGCTTGCTCACTGAGCACGATCCTCTGCTGGAGGATGGCCCAGGGGCAGGTGGCACCTGCCGAGTTCTCAAAGCCAGGAGGGACATCTGAAGAACTCGAATAGGGGCTGCTGTCACTAAAGTAGGTTCCAAGTAAGAAGGAGGCGCAGAATCAATACCTGGAAGAATTTCTGGCAGAATGTGAAATATTTGGGTTTTCCCTCCCATTCTGTGTTACGCAAAAGGTCAAAATTATTTACCTGTATTTAAAAATGCCCAAGTTTCTAAAACGTTAGGTTTATAAAACATTTTCCTGGAAAAAGGCAATTATGCTACTTTGTGAAATGTACACAACTCCCCAGCTAACACTTTCAATCATCCAGCTGAGAATCTTGTACCTGAAAGGGAAAGAAACATCCCACACAACAGCTTTTTATAAATGACATTTCAAAATGCTAGCGCATGCACAAGCTTCCCCAAGAATCACCATGGCATTTCAGCACCTGAGCTGATGTCAGTGCCTCCAAGCTCAGGGGGGTTACGCTCACCAGCACTGCACAGCCACACCATGAGAGGCCCACCACACCAGACACCACAGCTCGAGGAAGGCCTGCAGCCTGGTTAGTCCCACCCCAGCTTAAGCACACGGCCCCAGGGAGCTCTGAGGGACCACAATGCCACCTCCAACCAGCCTGCAGAGAGGCCCTGTGACAAAGGCCCCGTTCACTTGGGAGGTGGGATAAAGCTTTAATACAAGCTGGTAGGTAAACTGATCAAAGCGTAGTTCATCAAGCAAACCCCTACCTTGAGTGAATTAAATGTAAAACACTCAAGGAAGGTGAGGCTCAGTAAGAAATCCTAAGGAAACTAAGTGAAATGAGAGAATAGATAAAGCTGGAAACTGAAGTCGATTGAAAGTTTTACATACGGCAATCGGCTTGTCTTTGCCCCTGGAGGTTATATCCTTACCATACGTTTCTCCAACCTAGTAACGCATGAGAACTTTGTTTGAGTTTAGTAAAAACTAAGGAGAGTAAGAATCAATATAACCCACTGGTTAGCCTGAGCCCTCCCAAGAGCCCTGGCTAAATGCAGAGGATGGGCTAACAGGTCTACGATGCCGAATGCCACTAGAAGATGCCATCGATCCTGGCCAAGAAGATGGCAGGGACAGAGGTCAGGTGGGGGAGACTGAGGCCCCCTTTCAGCCAGAGAATTTGAAACAGGACCACGAAGCACATGGCCCACATGCCCAGTAAGGGGACGCTAAGGAAGCGACCTGCCCCCGTACAGGCGTGCACTGCGGGGCTGTGTGGCCAGTGGCCGCGTGACAGACACATCTCTCCAGGCCCTCTACCTGCGTTTCCAGTGGGGACTGCAGCTGATAGGGCCCTGCGCTGGGGGAGAAAAGTCGGCTGCTCCTGCCAAACTCTGGTGTGTGGTCTGCATGTGGGGACCTGCACCCCTGAGATGAGCCACGTGCCCTCTGCAGGTTGGGGGGTGGTGCAAGAATGACCACACTTGCCAGTGTTCATCACCACACTTCTTTGTTGCAAAAAATAAAAAGACTTGTGAACCCTGTAATTTTTCTAAAATACTGACAGACAGGGAACTGTTTCCACTTCACTCAGCTTTCTCTGATTTACAAGTCAATGAAAACATTGTTTCCATCACTGTGCTGGTTTAACCTATGGACACCTTTTCCGATCTGTCCCCCCAACGTGCTGTCAAATCTATATCGTGACGCAGGGACACAGGGACTCACAGGGATTGACCACAAAACACAGCTTCCAACCACAGCTGTTCTTCCCTTTTCGGTTGATAAGGCCATCTTTTTCCTTGGGAGAAGGATGTTTGCCGCCCTCAGTCAGCAGTACACCATCTGCCTGTTCCTTCCTCCTTCCTTCTTCCCCCAGACTAAATATGGCTTTAAGAAACCCTTCTGCGAGCTCCTGCCTTCTTTTCTAGAATCAGTGTGCTCCAACCTTTGCTTTCTGACCTGATGCTTCAGATTCAAACCGGACAGTCTTGGCTGGGAGTCTGTCTACACCAGTCCTTGTATCACTCAGAGCTCCTCTGAGAGCACCCCCTTCCTCACAGAGTCACTCATGCACCCTGGAACCTCTTCATTCTGTGGGTGCTGTATTGGTCACAGGCCCCTCATCTTCCCTCCGCATGGGAAGATACTTTCCTTAGGTGGGCAGCCACCTCTGACACTAGACGCCTAGTCTGCACCACAGACATTATTACTGGTCTGTCACAGACTGCTCTCCTCACAGTCAAAGTGCTGTGCAGTGGGGGGGGGGGGCCCCCGGGGGGGGGGGGAAGGGGGAGGGTCCTCACTACACAATCTACAAAAAGATGGGTCTGTTTTTAGAGGAATGAGTTCAGGCAGATTAGAATTTTGTCACTCTTGTAAGCAGTATCATTTTCCTTCCCTTCCTTCCTAGTGCTTCCCATCTGGCTTTTACTTCCAGGCTCGCCCCTGGACCAATGTATAAACACAGCACAGAAAAGCTGCTCGTGCCACAGGTGGGCTGCTACGAACACAAATTTAGGGGAAAAGGAGCAGGCCAGGCGCGAGCCTTCCTGCCGCACCTAACACGCGCCCAGCACGACGTGTGACAGGGCACAAGGAGACCCAGAGCACAGAGCAGCCAACCTCAGGGTCCTGTCTATGCACAGACCCTGCAGCTCACCGCTCAAACAACAGAAACACGAGACCCCTCTCCCGGTCAAGGGGAGTGTGCGGCCACTTGTGCTTTCGTGCCACTCGGTCCCCACCGACTAGGCAAGCTCTGTAACATACCCAGAGAACCAGCCTGTCGCCAGCATTCAACCCAGAGCAAGCCCTCTGCTCCTGAGCCCTCACCCAAACCGCCCAACACAAGTCCAAACCTCGCCCCAGAGCATCTCAGGGTGCGTCTCCCCTGTGATGCAGTGGCCGCCGACCTGAACCATAGGTGTGTTCCTCGCACTCTTGGGCCAGACAACTCTGACACGCTAATAGTCACCCAAAGTGTGAAGCCTTTAACAATCAAAACAGACTAGTAAACACACATTTTTCTCTCAACCTAATGTCACAGCAGATTAATCCAGGACTTTTAAACAGACCTTTTAAAGTCGCACATGCAGAAAATAAAAACACTGGCCTGACACACTGGGGCCCTGGCCACAGCAACAGAGAAGCCCAGTACCTCAATGAGTGGGGGCACAGCGTGGGGGTCCTAGAACGCACAGGACTCAGGCTTTGGCAAATCAGACACGTTCCTGCCCACACCACTGAATCCTGGAGCCAGTGAGCGATGCAGGTGCCAGGACACGATGCCCAGAGCGACTCTGGGCGTAAGGCTGAGGGTGAAGCCCACCACAGGGAATGTGCATGACAGATTATCCAGACAACTGGTTGAAAGGTACAGAAGCCTCAGAATTATTTAATTTAGAAAAATAAAAACCACTTGTTTTGAAAAAATGACTTTTCATCTTTTTGTGACCAACTAGAAACTAATGGCTTATACAGATTTAACTTGGCTACAAAGGTACCCAGCACAGGAAGCCTGATGTCCTTTACATCACCTCAGATAAATCGAGCACATGGCCCCTTAAGTGTGCTGAGCACAAGCGGGGGGGAGCCAAGAACAGACCTGCACACAACACGACAGGAGACTGTATTCCTTTACTACAAAGACCAGAGGTGTCCAATCTCTGCTGCCCTCAGTGAATGAACTTGGCTCTGCATCCCAGGCCTGCCTCAGCAGCCAGGACAGTGTCATCTCTACAGGCGCCATGTCCTCGACTGCCAGCTGCATGCTCCATCCTCTGCTCCTAGGCACCCCACTCACACCCCCACACAGGGTGCATTTCTTTGGGTTACTGGAAGACAAGAAGCATGTCTTATTCCCTTTGTGCAGTTCAAGTATTTGGTTGGACAGTAGTCACCGCAGGATACAAACGCGCCTGAAGAGTTGAGGTCCTCGCACCAGAATGACAAACACCCACAAGATTTCAGGTCTCACACCAGGGGCCTGACTCAATCTGTTATCACTGTGTCCCTCAACACAGAGCGGGAATCCTGCCAAGGCAACCTTGACTGGCAGTGACTCCTTTAAGAGAGAAAATGCCACACCCAAGAGCCCCTGAGTCATAGGAGGAGGTTCTCAATTCTCAGAAGAGACACCCTGCCTTCCAAAGAGCCGCAGTCACCAGCCCCACCAATCAGTATTTGCAAACTTATTTAAAATCTGGAGTTATTAAGTAGCCACTGGGACAGAACAATTCCTAAACATTGAGGAATTCAAGCCAGCTGCTCTGAATCAATTTTATCTGATACTAATCTCACCCAATTCAAACTTCCCATTTTTATATTTTTGGTCTCTTAACATTGTTGCTAAAGGACAATCAGCAAAAACCTACAGCTTAAAGAAACTATCTGACAATTCCTCTAACAGGAAACAAATAGAAAAGCCAATGGTTGTTATAAGGAGAAGGCTGTAATCAAAAGTTTCATTACTAAACATGAAATTACTTAAAAAAAATAAAAAGCAAAAAAATAAGTTTGGGTAAACTGGAACTAAGTAGCTATTTTTTTTTCTTTTTTCTTTTTTTTTCTAAGTAGCTATTTTATCTGTTATTTTATCACACTACCCCAAGACTCTAAAGGTTAAATCAAATAAAAGGCCAAAGTCTGCCTCCCGTGGGATGTCCTCCTGACCCTGACTCCTGGCCATCCTATACAGCAATTTCCATTCATGGGGCAAGCTCTGCATTGGGGTGCTTCCCAGATTCACGTAGAAACCCAAACAGAATGAGGGATCTAATAGCTACTAACACCTGTGATCCCAGTGTTCTTGGGACTGTTTTAAGTGCTTCACATACATTAACCTCATCTAGTCCTATGAAACAGCTCAAAACTAAAGATGAAGAAAGCTGCCCAAGGCCCGGCAAAGGGCAGGATTTTCGTACAAGGCATCTGGAGGCATCTCCTGTGCACACCGCCTTCACCAGCTCAGTCACTAGGTGGCCAACGACACGCTTATAGCAAATGATGTCAGACAACTGCTTACTTAAAGATGTTTCTGAGCCACTCTGCCCACCTGTGTCTTAGGTGGGTGCCTCTTTTTTCCCTTTCCCTAACAAGGCTGACCTTTTATGGTAAAACATTAAAAAAAAGAAAAAGAAAAATGATTTCTATCCATGACCACTGCCTGAGGTTTGGTAAACAGACAATCTAGCTGTCTGCTATAGACTTGTAACTAATCTCAATGTTTATCTGGCTGAACAGAATGAATACATTTCTAAAAAACTAAAAATTCAATCTATAATGAGAAGATTTAGGCACTGAAGTCACAGAGAATGAACATGTACTTGACAGAATAGTACTAAATCCAAAAGATGCTTTATAATTTGCTTTTAAGAAACTTAAATCTCAATTGCTTAATTTGACTCCAACAGAAAACTCACAAAGCAAACCACCCATAAACTACCTGCTGTTAAGACAGGTTTGTACCAATAGTACTGGTATTTCACAAAGTTGTCCTAAACTAAATGGAAAAATGTAAAAAGCACAGCACCATATTTAGTAACTGGTAATGCTCAACAATAAAAATCAACCAAACCCCAGTTTACATCTCAGGGGATACTACTGAATTAATTTCACTTCATCTGCTCTTACTTAATATGGCCAAAAGATGGCAATATAAGTAACAGGTGACATTCAATTAATCAAACATTCTGGAAGGGTATATTCGAAGGAAACATTAGAAGGCCATCATGATCCTTACTGTTTGCGGATAGGACAGGGGGCGTAATCTGTCATAATCTTCTTGTCCAGCGGTATCCCATAATCCCAGATTCACGGGTTTTCCATCTACCATAACATTGGCAGAATAGTTGTCAAAGCTGAAGAATGGAATAAAAATCATTAGTCTTTAGCCCTCGATGCCAGGCACAGATCCTGGAGCAAAGCTGTGGTCTTGGGTAGGCCCTGTAAGAGGTGTGCTAAGAGGCCCAGAAGGAAACAGATAGGCAGTGACCCCCTTCCTCCCAGCCCCCACATTTGAGGAGAAGGCCTAGAGCAGAAGTGGGGCTGGAGTAGGAGGGAAATCAATACACAACTTGAGAAAAACATCTGAGAACAAAGGACAAGGTACCAAATTTACCTGAAACAAATTAATGTTAGCAACTTAAAATACCTTCCTTTTTGATAAGACCTTAAAATTTTATTCCCCACAAAGAAATAAAGTATAAAATTTGTCCCTTTCAATCCCGCTTGTTTTTTTCATGTATATATTTCATTCATTTTGACAAGGTGGCACACACACAAGTATTTCCAGAACATCACCTAAGTGCAGGGTTATAATCAAGTTTTGGTTAATTGTGCACTTTTGGCCACAACCAAAGTACAGTGACAGCATGAAGCAAAGTAAACCTGACTTGAGAGGCAAGCTATTGGGTAACAAATGAGAATACATTTGTATTCTCATGTACTGTATTCTCATGTATTCATGTATTGTATTCTCAATAACACATGTACTTAAATTCACTGGAAGCTGCAACACACAAACTAGTTACGTATGAGAGGAGGTAGCCCAGAAAAGCTAACGGGGAGAAACCGGGTTGACATTAAAAAAAAAAAAAAAAAAAAAAAAAAGTTACTATATGCACCAGAGTAAGCCATTAAAAGAAAATGTGGCACTGCAATTTACATCAAGCAAAGCACCAAATGAAACACTACAATAGGAATTTTAAAATAAAATTCCAGAATTAATTTTTACTTTGAGACTGGAATTAGGGTCTTACCACATTGTGACAACAAAGTCAAGGTTTGAGGTAAGGTTCCAATATGGTTCATAAAACTAATGATGAAACTAACTTTCATGAAGATCTAATGTGTGTAATTCTGCTTCCATGATAAAAAGAGTAGATTAGATTTTTCCATTAACAGTACTGTGACCTGTGTAACAAACAGTATTTGAGGTGCCTGACTGAAAGAATTCTAGATGAATCAGGTAAAAATTTTAGCCATAAGCCCTAGAAAATAACAGGGAACATTTTTTTCGTTAAAATAGGAATGGTAAGTTTAAGACAAAGATCAGTTAAGAGGGGAATGACAACTTTACATATAAATGTTAAACTTTTTTATGGCAGAAGACACCTTAAACAAAGTTCAAAGACAAATAAGAGAAAGATAAATATTTCTTACATATGAAAGTTCCATGTAAGGAGAAATCTCAGTTGAAAAGTTAGGTAAGGAGTCCAAAGGCAATTCACAACAGACAGCAACACTCAAGAGATTTTTAACCTCACTGATGATCAGAAATGAAAATGACCAAGTAACTTTCTTCAACTCATGTTAACCACATTACACGTTAAGGGGCTGATTCAGTCACAGCTGGTCCAAGTGATAGTCTTCTGGACAGCAACTGGGCAGTATCTTTCACAGTTTATAACACCCACCCTCCCCCCAAAAAAACCACCCACATCCTTTGAATTCTGCATAATTCCACATCTAATATTCTATACCACTGCACCACGGAGAGAAAACTGTCTCAGAAGATGTGGTCTATCCACTATGGAATACTACACAGCAACAAGGAAACACGAAATGCTGCGTTTACAGCAAAAACTGATGGAGCCTGACGAACTATATGGTGAAGAAAGTCAGAATGACAAATACTGGAAATTTACATAATGATGCAACAAAGCGAAATTATAAACATCCACAGACATTAATAAACAGAATTAGGTTACTTAGGTTAATGGTAGAGTGCAGGGAAAAAGGTCAAGGGGATAAGAGGGATGGGTTTAATTAAAAAAAAAAAAATCATGTGCACAAGAAAAGTGCAATGTTTAACTTAGCACTGTCTGCCGTGAACCCTCCCCAACCACACCCCTAAATGACTAGTAGTGAAACCGACTATTGGCATTTCAAAGCCTTTAACAACTGTAAATCGTTTATCTATCTATATCTATAGGTAAGAAAAGTCCACATCCTAAATAAAGGTCAATGTGTGGACAGAATTTTGCATTTTGAAAACATGAGCAGAGCACCTAGGCACACAGCTTGTGTGTGAGGAGGTGCCCTGGGGGCCTCAGTGCGTCCCCCACCAGGGCAGCAGCCAGAGAGGCAGAGCTCACTGTGGCCGCAGTGCAGGAGGCTGGTGACGCCATTCTCCAGTAACCCACCACCCGAAAAGCATTTTTCTCTCTCTACCCCTTGTGCTTCCAAATGAGCACGAACAGCCCCGTGCTAATTCCCTCCTTCCATACACTGTCCCCTACCCACACTCTAGTTTCAATTTTAAAGACAGAAAAGACCAATTAAAACACAATGGGAGTTTTTCAGGTTCCAATTCATTGCTCCTTCACAAATGCAGTCTAGAGAGCCAATTTATATTAAACTTTGTATTTTCCAGTCTCTGTGCTTCATAGTTAAGTTTACTAACTTACTTTTGTTTCCCTTATGTCTAAAATTCAATTAGGCAAACTGTGTTTCTTTAATTGCCATGTGGAAACTTCAACTATGATTGACTTAAGTATTTTTTTAATGGCCCAAATACTTTATAATTAGATTTTAGTACAGGCTTACCAAAAAATCTAGTCATATCTGTTCATGTAAGGATTATGAGTGGCTTTAAAGCAAAATAAAGATTGAAGGAACCTAAAATACATATGTCTCACAGAGAAATTAATTTCCATTTAAGTGACAATACTTACACAGTGGGGATATACTCTCCAGGAAAGGCATTGGTTGTGTAACTGATCAGTAGGCAGGTTTTACCTACAGCTCTAAAGGAAGAGAAGAAAAATTGCTTAGTCCACAGGAACATAATCCTAGTTTTCATCATCCTGTTAAAATAATTTATAGAAAAATCATAGGCTATACACCAAGTACTTAGCACGAAAGAAAACAATCCATTTCTGTAACCTTTTACTTAATACCACACATATTTTTACCCTAGAATTTCTCAAAAAGGTAGGTAGTCAGGGACTCTCACACCATAGGGGTATCTGATATTAGGCTGAATAGTCAACAGCTGTTAAATAAGCACAAGTGTCAAAAGGAATAATATTTCTAAATCAGTAGTCTCTTCTGTTAACATCTGTAGAAACTCTTCCACTCACTGTCTTTGATGAATCCTTTAGCCCCTTGCCCCGGCACCTCTGCCTAGACCCCAATTCTTGTGTGCATAAATTAAAATAAAAATCTTAAAGAAAAAAAAGCCTTTCACCCGAAAATCTTCAATTCTATCAAAATATAATAATAACATGCAAACACAATTTTCCTTTACACCTTCCACTTGGTTACCAAACAATGTATTTTTGCTGCCTCTGAGTGGATATCAAATACCACACTTTTCTAAAGCCTACCCTCTGGCGATCAGTAAGATGTTCTTAACGTGGTGATGTTCTGATGCCTCGTCATTAATCACACAGAACAGCTCTCACTCTAACTCATCTGGATTCATGTGGGCCTCTCTGTGGCCCCTACCAGACTCAGAGAGCAGCTAATGCATTATATTCCAGACATATTAATTAATGACCCAGAGGGCTAGCATAAACTTACCAAACAAATCCAAAGATGAGAAAGTGCAAGAGAACTGTGTAGAAATACTCCAGACAGATGGGCTCCTGCTCAATTGGCAGGGGTATTAGGTGCCAGCAGGCAAAGGTGAGTGGTTGGAAAGCTTCCAACCAGTGGATTTATTGTTCAAGAGAATATCACCTAAAAATTAAGGTCACTACACCATTAGCTTTATTAAAAAAAAAAAAAAAAAGGCTCCCCTTTTGTTTGCTGGGTAACTTCAGGGGCTTCTGAGTCCACATCCCTGGCTTCCTAAGGGCTCATTAAAAGCTCTCCTTCCAAGAGTCCACCTCCCTGTACTTTGAGGGTTTACCAAGGACACTGCAATGACACAAGGGAGTTTTGAGATACAAGATTTTGTTGTTCCATCTCAACTACTATTAAATTAGAATTCACCGGGAAGAAGTTATGTGCGTTTCTATTTTCTTTGCTCTCTTAGCTTAAGGCAAAACCCTTCACAAGAGCAGATTACAGGTCCATCCAGTCTTGCCAATACTTGTTGCACTCATAACATTATTAAGGGCTTAACAAAAGCTGGAACTCCCCATCTCCAAGAACTCAGAGTCAAACATTACATCACCAGGCAATAGCTTCCAACTCCTAAAGGCTTTCTAAACAAAAATGAGTGATTGGGTCATAAATTTTATTAGAAGCTTAGAATGTCAAAATAAACCTGTAAGAGCAGGAACCTAAGATATGCAGTCACTACACTGGACTTGAGAGACCCATGGCCCACTTTTTGCTTTTGGCTCTCTATTTTTTAAAGATTTACTTACTTATGCAGACAGAACTGGGGTACAGGCCACAGGTGTGGGGGTGAGAGGATTCACCAGAGACAGAGTGGGGAACAGAACAGACAAATGTACTAATAAAATCCAGTGAGGGGAGCAGCAGGTGAGTCAGGAGATGTCTGCCGCACCATGTGGGTCAGCGCCCTGGCTGGGGATCTGACTGCAGTGGCTGCAGGTAGCTTCACAGTGCTGCGCTTTAACCCGGCGCGCCACCAGGGAGGGAGGCTATGGCCCACTCTTACCACTTACTGCCCACAATATTTGAGTTAAACTTCAACTTAACTTTATGCCTCAGTTTTCTGAATGTAAAATGGATTGAAAACTGACAACTCATACGAACTGTTGTGAGCATTAATTCAATTTCAACCAATACCAGCAAACTGTGTACTACTCAGAGTATAGCTGTTAAAGATATTGCAAAGAACAAGAACTCAGAATGTACACTACTAAGTTAAAAAACAAAGAGTGCAGTCATTACATAAAACTATAGGCTTTTGGTAAGTGTTAATAATGAAAGATACTCTGAAAATGTATAGCAAAGGAATCTAACACACTTTTGAGGGCAGTGAGGTTAGTGGAAGCTACAGTATACATACTCTGAGGCTATGAGCAAAGGGAGGAGCATTGCAGGCTAAATGTCAGCATCGGGGAGGCCCAGAACTAAAGAACTCTTGCACAACTAAAGAACAAGAAAACAGGGGAAGTGGTAGAGGGAAATGGGCAGAGGCTGTGATTTCTACTTGTTAAGTAAGGATATGGGACTTGAACCTATGGGAAGTGACAGACAGTTTTTAGTTAAAGAAACCGAGAGGGCCCTCCCTGGCGACACAAGGGGTTAAAGCACAGCACTATGAAGCTATCTGCATTTGCTGCCTGAGTTCCACCCTTGGCTAGGGAGCTGACCGGTGACCTCTTCTGTCCCACCCGCTGCTCCCCCCAGCAGTGTATTTCAGGACATCTGCCTGCTCTGCTCCCCACTGCCTCTGGTGAATCCTCTCACCCCCTGCACCTCTGGCCTGTACCCCAGTTCTGTATGCATAAATACATCTTTTTTTTAAAAAATTGTCCTTTTCCAAAACAACTGCTTCAGCTGAAAAGTATAACTACAAAAGAATTCAAATTACTGGTATATAACCAGATACTAACTGAAATTTTCTTACCAATCATTATTTGCTATAAATCTATTAAGAAAATTGTTAAATTACAAAATTCTAGGTGTCCATAATTACATGATCAGTCTGTGTTATCAATACTTAATTTTTAAGAACACAGAGAAAGAAGATGGTTATTGCCCACTAATACATTTAACACACTCTACAAATAAACACTAGAGGCCAAAGTCAACATCAGCTCCAGGCAAAGTCACAGCTTCTCCCCACATGAAGGATGGAAGCCGTATTTGGTCAGTCTTGACTGATGCTGCTGCAGGATTTCTGAAAGTGTCCCTTGCTTTAAAATTTTCCCGGTTCTATGTATTTAACTGCCCTGTTCAACCTCTTTCTAGTCTTTGAAAGATGACAAACTCTAGAAAATAAACATGTGTCTACCAGAAGTCACGTTGAGTGGGAAACAGAACAGGCGGACTGATGGAAAAACACTGCCCCGGGGCAGTGGGCAAACAGGAGAGGACGGTCACATCCTGTGGGTCAGCTCCTGGCCAGGAATCGAACCCCTGCTCCAGTGGCTGCAGATAAATTCATAGCACTGTCCTTTACCCTGGTGCACCGCCAGGGAGAGCCCCTGAGTACAGTTTTAAAAAGCTGTGCTTCCCCTGCCTGGTCTTGTAGAAATAACCAAGATGAAAGTAAGATTATGTTCATTTTTCCACTAGGAGAACTTTAAGAAAACTTTTTAGTTAAAATCTTTAATGGAACTGTATTACTGTCTAAAAATACCTAGATCTTAAGGACAAATTAATAGGAGACTGTGACTTCTAAGTATTAATCATATATTAACATTTACTAAATAAATGAAAAACCCTGAAGGAAAATCCTCTTATTAAGCAGGGTATGGAGATTTTCTAAGTAGGTCTTCAGTGAATACCTAGTGACTCAAGGGGTTAAGTCTCAGCACTAAGATGCTACCTACCACCAGCTACTGCAACATGAGTTCAATTCCCAGCCAGGGAGGTGACCCACAGAGCGCAGCAGACCTGCCCCATCTCACCTGCTGCTCCCCTCAGAAGTGTGTTTCAGTCCATCTGCCTGTTCTGCTCCCTGTGTCTCTGGTGAATCTTCTCACCCCACCCCCCAAACCTCTGGCTTACACCCCAGTTCTTGCATGCATTAATAAATTAATCTTAAAAAAATCATCTCCTTCCCAGGAAGACTATAATTATAAAATATAGCTAGCTACCTGGTAATGCAGAAGTGAAAAAGTGGGAAGTACCAAGACCCCAGATGACTGATACAACAGACAGACCATAAATGGGCTATAGTTTCTAAATATGCACTCCTGCTATTCTTCTACTAAACCCAACCCAAACTTTAATTTTTGAAGATTTATTTATGTATACATATTTATTTATGTATACAGAACTGGGGTACAGGCCAATGTGCACGGATTTACCAGAAACAGACTGGGGAGCAGAACAGGCAGATCTACTGAAATACACTGTTGAGGGGAGCAGTGAGTGGATCAGGAGGTCTGCCAGGCCATATTGGTCACCTCCCTGGCCAGGGATCGAACTTGAGCTGCAGTGGCTGCAATAATTTCATAGTGCTACTCTTTGAACCGTTGCACCACGGGGGGGGGGGGGCGCCCAACCCCAAGCTCTCACTGGAGTTATCATTTGAAAACTTTTTAAAAAGGTATTACTACCGGGTCCTCCCTGGTGGCAGATAAGGTTAAAGCACAACACTATGAGTTTGATCCCTGGCCAGGGAGGTGACCTACACGGCACAGCAGATCTGTCCTGACCTGCCCACTGTTGCCCTCAGTAGTGTATTTCAGTAGATCTACCTGTTCTGCCTCCTATTCTGTCTCTGGTGAATCTTCTCATCCCCTCCCCATCTCTGGCCTGTACCCCAGTTCTTGTATGCATTAATAAATCAATCTTTAGGGGGAAAAAAATAAAGCTTTAGTACCAACCAAAACCAGAGCCACATATTAAACCCAAATTTGGGAGCCAGTGTACAGAATCCAAACACTTATTTATAAGAGGTCAAAGATACAGAACGCACACCAAAAGGCAAAAATCTCTTCAAATCTTAAAAGTTCACGTAGAGTCTAAATAAATCCATGGGTCACACTATCACTGACTATAAATGCAAGTGAGGAATAATTTATATGACTATGAAGATGACATCATGGAAGACATTTATCATGTGCAACTGAAAAAAAAAAAAAAAAAGATCCTGACTAAGTTACACACTCTGAACTGAAATGAGGGAGGTTTCATGGTTTCATGTCATTCACTCCTGCCTTCTATCAACCTTGGTCAGATGACACTATA